TTTCAGTCGCTGTTTGTGAGAAACTGTTGATGTCATTTACAGTTTCAAATGGAAGGACATCTGCATTAACAGCACAGGAGCTGTTGATGGTATCACAGCTAGTAAACTGCTGGTGGAATTGCAGTTGTAAAGACTGAAATTTAGTTGATGTTAATGCTCATGTAACTGTTGGTGTTGTTACAGTTGAAAGAAGGATGGAAGTCGGAAATGGACATTGAGAAGTAAACAGCAAGCAAAAAGGTCTGATGGTGTTAAAGTAAATATGCAACTGCAGGTGGAGTCGCAGTTGAATTATGATGTAATTGTGTTGCTGTTTCCATTCATTATAAACAACCTTAATTTGTATGTGAGTGCATGTTTGATTGTAGGTGTCATAATTGCAAGGGTTAGATCTTGAGAAAATCCTGGTAAGGTGGAACACATCAGAATTTTAACAAGGCAATTCAGGAAGTTGCAATTTCTAACCAAACAAGCACACACATACTCAGTGTGTGCAGTTCCTCTCAAAATAATGTTTAGTGCGGATCCATTATTTTTTTACCAGTTGGGCCTTTTTAAAGGTACAATTACTTTCGGATATTGGAAATTGTTGAAAAAACCCTGAATTAGAAAATTATTTTACAGGATGGAAAATGTTTTATTGAAGATGATGTGTACCCATTAGCCCATCCTGGATCCATATTTTTTGTCACATCCGTAATTAAGGTCCATTGTTTTTAACTAGAACAGAAGTAATACCAAATAGAAGTGGAGCATCTGACTGACAAAGAAAATATATCATTATATATGACAGATGGTAGTGCAGCTCTAAGTTGATTTTGCTTTTTACAGAATTGCCGTCTGTAATGGGAGATTTTTGAGATGTTGGTTGAGGCAGACATACAAGCCCATTTTACTAGTTCTGAGCAGATGCCAGATGTTCTTGGTATGTATGTGTGGTTCAGAATGTGTTAACAATGGTGATAACAATGACAAAGGACCAGTATGTCTGCTCACACCAGCATCTCAAAAGTCTCCCATTACGGATGTGACTTCAACTAAACATTATTTTGAGAGGAACTGCACATTGTAAAAGAGGGATTTAATCTTGGCGCTGGGTGCAGCCAAGCTGCACCTCAGCAGTCTCCTGGCGCGGAGACTCTCCACCGCCACCAACAGGTGTAAGATGGCCAGGTGTGGCGGAAGGAGTGGTGGATCTGCTCTTCATGCGTTGCTGCTTTTCAAGAGCAGTTGTTGCGTCTCTGATAAGGTGATCTGGACTGTTCAGGAGATCACGGGATGGGTTATTGGAAACCACCCTTGTTTGAGTTGGAATCCTTGAGGCTCTTCCTGAGTGCTTCTGCCACTTAGACTTCTAGAATCTGGAACACGGTGCCCCATCTGCGATGAATTCAGGAGATCTTGTGATGGTTTGTTTGATGTTGGTGACAATGGACTTGGTGTCCTCTGGGTGGGGAGAATCTTTGAGTCTCTTCCAGCACTCTCAGAAACACCGCCACAGGGACTCCTGGAACCTTGCACGGAGCCACCTGCTTCTGATGCAGACAAGAGATCACTCGATGGGCTGTTGAGGCCTGGTGGCACTTGACTTGGTGTCTTCTTCCCTCTTGGAATCAGTGAGGCTCTCCCTTGGGGACTGCTTGACATCCTAACCTGAGAGGTTGTTCTGTACACACGCTCTGTGTCTGCTCTGATCAGGAGATCACTGTTTGCTCGGTCTGTTGTCCTGTGGGTGGGAGAGCCTTTGCCAAGCGGTATCTGAAGTTGAACACCATTGGCCACATATGAGAGATCTGTTGATGAACTGTTGGAAGCTTGCAGCATCAGACTCGGTGTCTTCTTCCCTCTTGGGGTCAGTGAGGCTCTTTCGTGAGAACTGCTTGAAGTCTTCAATTGGGAGGTGGGCCTGAACTTGTCATCTGCTGCAGGAACATCACTTTTTGCTTGGTGTGTAGTAATCGTCGAAGAGCCTTTGCCAAAAGGTCGTTGAGGATGACCTCTGTCTTGTTGGTTTAGGTCATCAGGTACATGTACCTTGGTGCTCCCTATCTTGGGAATCCTTGTTTGAGTGTTTTTCCTGCTTGGACTTTTTCGAGTGCACTGAGACTCACTGGAAAAAGACCTTGTGCTCTGGTTGTCCAAGTGATCCAGAAAGCTACTGGAAGATGTTGATGCTGCTAGCAAGTGTGCACTCAAGACAGGAGTTATGTTATCAGTGGAGGACTGGATGGTTCTTGTTTGCATAATGGAAGATAGGTTGCCATCCAGTGCTCTGTCAGGTGAAGAAACTGTATGTTGATCAGTTGGTACGTGTTCAGGAGAAAGATGTCCCAATGGCAGAACTCGCAGTTGGTCCCAAAGCTGCTGTTCTTGATTGCTGCTGTTCACAGCAGTAGGATGTTGCTGGAGTTCATCCAAAGGTTGGTTTTCCAGTGATAGTTGGTGTGTGACGCTGATTTCTCTGGTCACCTCGAAGTTGTCACCCATGGCACTTTCATCTGATCCTGGAAAGGATAACTGATCTGTGATGGTGGTAGATTCCATCTGATTTGCGACCACTGTACTTGGTCTTGCCTCAGCAAGCATGGCTAAGGATGTCTTTTGACTACGGGCCTGGCGGGCAGAGTTGACTCTGCGGGGTGCACCCTCACTTTTGATGGAGACATTATCTTTTCCTGAACGTTTCTGCCGCTTAGTACTCAGCTTGGAAGGGTCCAAACTATCAGCAGATGTGAGAGCAATGTTTGCATCCTTGCTTTCCACAGTAGTGGACTTCTGTTCTTTGCCATGGATGGATGGGGAAGAGGTTACAGACTGGGGTTCTTGGAATCTGACATGTCCTGGCTTCAGTTTGCCCAATGACTTGGATTCTATTGTGGAGTTGTCACATGATTTTGTTGGATGATTGGTAACACTTGAAGGATCTAGATCTGGGTCTTGCTTCTCAGCAGGCTGACTGTTGGAGTGGCTGCTCCCCTGAAGATGGCTTGTTATGGCGGCACTGACAGAGGTGTTTGGTTTCTGTTGGCCACCTTTGTGAGGGAGGGAAGAGCTCTTTGATGCCTTCAACTTTTCAGCAGGGTTTGCTTTGTTCCTGTTGTTGCTGTTTGTTGCAGAAGTAGAAGACATTTGGGGAATTTTTGATGCCTGAGATTTTTTCGTGGCAGTCTGTTTGCTCTTGCTGCCGACAGCTTTGGAACCGGTAGAGGTGCTGTTTAATTTGGTCTTCCTTGTCTTTGCATTGGCACACTCCTTACTATCAGCACCCTTTGCTGACTCTTTGAGTTTCAACATCCTGCTTGATGCATTGCGGGCTTTTGGCTCTATAGCAGGTTTCTTCTTGCTAGCAGTGGGAGACTTCTTGTGATTACTCCTTGAATTTTTTGTTTCTTTGGCAGGCTTCTTGGTCTTGTTTGTGCCGGACACTTGATTTTTTGACTTTGCATCTTTGTCTTTTCCACTGGCCTTCTTGTCCTTGTCCTGTTTGTCCTGTTTCTTGTGATCACTTTTTGACTTATTCGTATCCTTGGTGGGCTTCCTGCTATCAGCCAACTTGGTCTTGCTTTTGCTGGAGGCCTGTGTGTCCTTTTCCTTCTCTTTCCCACTGGCTTTCTTGACCTTGTCCAGTTTGTCCTTTTTCCCAAGAAGGGCCGTTCGACTTTTCTGGGATGCAGACTTGATGGCTGTTTTTATCTTGGACACAGCTGATGGTTTCTTTGATGGCTTGTCTTGTTCATTTTCAATCTGGAAAAGCCAGAGCCAGTAAAAAGATGATAAACACAAGGCCCATTTAATTCAGAAAAAGTGATGCATATGCACATGCGTTTGTTGTTTTGCAGAAAGAAACGTAAACATGTGTTAGGGGTTGGTTTCAAATTTAGGTGAAGAAAAAAAAAGGAGAGAATTTGAATTTTATTTGCAGATTTTGCAAGGGGAGATTTTTATTTTCAAAAACGCTGATGTGTTATATATCATGTTGGTTTTACTCACATTGTCAGTTTGAATGGCCATTTCACAAGTCTGAGTGGACATCTCAGAGGTTTGGCGTGCAAGGTTAACGCTTGAATTCTTCAGCCCATTCAATATGATGTTTGTCAGCTTGGCTGGGTCAACTGATGCAGTGCTGGAAATCTGTTGATTAAACAAATACGCTTCATCGAATTTAAGAGTCTTTAGTTACAACTTTATAAATGAATTCTGAATTCTTCCGTGCCAAAACCTGATTGTGTGCAGGCTTTTCACTTTAAACGCCCAAAATTAAAATACTTACCGCATCAGTGGGATTTGAGGCCATTTGCTCAGTAGCGATGGTGGCGAGCAAAATATCAACCATATCAGCAGCCTGCCGATCCAAGCTGTGTTGTTCCTCTTCCTCCTTTGTTTCATCGCAAGACTGTGAAGGCATTGCAGTAACCAATGGACATGTTTAATAATCTCTCAAGTTGGAACAATTTGGAAGTAGCAAATGAAAATTAAAAATGACCAAAGTAACACGTTTTACGAGAACATCCAGTTTGAACCCTTCCTGTCATACACCTGTACCTAAATCTGAAGTACACTGTACCTTTAATCTTACTTCCAAAAGAGTAAAAGCTGACACATGGCTGCTTTTCTCATTAACTGAACAAAAGCTCTAGTTCTTGAAGTTTATAATCCTCAGTAAGTTTATCTTTTCTAGTTGTGCTTAATATTTTCATTCAAAAAAATAACAAGTGCCTCTTCATTTGACTTACCATCTGAACTGCTGTGGTGGTAGAAGCAGTTTGCAGGTCCTCCTGTGTGATACTTGCAAGACAGGCATCCACAAGTTTAGCAGCCTCTATGTCCAGGCTGCTTGTCATCTGCTGCAGTACATCAACAGCCGAAATGTGAACAGGGAGTTTCATTTTTTGCTGTCACCTTGTATCAATGTTATTCTCTAATTAAACTCCTTGTTTCATGTATAGATCTGGGTCTGAGGTGTCTAACAATGTCCATTTATAGAGAAATTTCAATCATTTTCTATAGAGTACCAAAGTGACTACGTCACGCGCACAATTAGTGTGTAAAAGGCATTAGTGCGAGAATCAGCGCGTGAACCAACGCGCGCGTACTCGTTTGCATTCGTTTGCACTGCACTTTCTGGTTCACAGTGACGTCACACTTCGGTACTCTATTCTGTTCAATTTCAGTGTTTTGTTAACTCTAATTGCATTGCCCGGTTAAAGTACATGTATAACGACCCCTAATTTACAATTGACAAGGTCTCTTTCATCATTTGCTGCCAGGTGCTTTTAAAAATACTGTGCACACACACAGGAGATTTTCAAAATTTTCAGTTTTCAAAATTCTTCAACAATTCATCATTTCATTTCAATGGACGTTTAGACCCACACAAATGACTCTTTGGTGGCTACTCTAAGCTGACAGGCAACCTTCATTGACTCCTGAGTATATCTGAGTATATCAGGGCCTGCCGCTCTGTAAAGAGAGCCCAGAATTTCCTTTGTCCCCAGTGAATGTGAGTGGCGTCTTTTCAAACGAGCTGGAATAGCGTGCAGCGGTGCTGTGTCACTCATCAATGGGGCACTGGAGCACTTTGTCCGCGGTGCTAATCTGTGGGCGCGCTATGCCCAAAACAGTGGTATACTGTAAAATTCCCAGCAGCAGGTCTTTTGTTCCGAGCACAGTCTTTTGTTAAACAGACCAGCTCTTTTGTCCCATATCGGGCACCCCAGCTAAACGGGGTTCTCCGGCAGCAAGTGGTTAAGCACATTCTGAAGTCGCTAATACATGTAATCAAAGGGACAGATTTGTAAAATTTGAGCTAAAAGCCATATTAGCTTCGCATAATTGCTTACCATGTCAGCTGTCTCGATGATTGGAGCAGTAGTCCGTCCCTCAGACTGGAAGTCTGCTGTGACTTGGGCCAGGACAGAACTCACAACTTTTGCTGCCTCTTCAACCAGATTGGAAGGTGCCTCTGCTGACATGCCCACAGACTGTGAAGTATTGAAAGCAAGTCCTTTCTTTTAACTAAATTACATATTAAACTCTTCACCAGGCTTTGTTGAACACTGTTGGTGCCATGTGTGGGATATCACAATATTTATTATTGTGGCAGCATCTTTTTCAAGGTTTTGTGCTCTGTGGACATCATACAGTGTTTCAAATGCCAACTGTATACTACTAAATTTACTATTAAAATCTGTCATGCTGATATTTAAATGGAATTGGACAAGGAACGCACCATGACAGTAACTGTTGTAGAGGTGTCATCTTCGTCACTGTCTTCTCCCTCCAAGCTGGCGAAGACAGCATCAACAAGATAAGCAGCCTCCTGCTCCAAGATGGCTGCCTGCTCTGCAGCGCTAATCTGTGACCATCAGAAAGGTCATGATTATTTTTATGGCATAACACCAAGATTTCATTTGTAGTTTTGCATTGCATGAGTTTGGTCGACCACACTTGAGGCTAATGTTGAAACATGGAAAATTAGTTTTGGTCAAGTCTTGAATTTAAAGTTGGATATTGCATATAAACTTGGTATATATATGCTACATTTGGGGAGTTGTCTCAATATGCCCTTGGGTTATTTATGCACATCTGTAAGGGCCTCAGGTTGACTTAATATGCTTGATGTTAACGACTTGCCTCATCATCAGCTGCTGTGTTAAGCACTTCCGACTGAGGTGCTTTTTCTTCATCTTTGTCCAGACCGGCAAAGACTGCCTTCACCAAGTTAGCAGCCTCCAGTTCCAGGCTGGAAGAGTCCTGTAGTATACCCAAAAAATTCCAGGGAAAGAGAAGATGAACATGATGAAAACCAACAGATTAACGAATCTGAACGCTTGAAATATTTTAAATGTTTTAAAAGAATACTCTGCTTTTACATTTTATACACTTACTCGCAGATCTACATTTGGTAAGGGTTTTCCAAAAGATTCCTACCTCATCAACAGTCTTGTCATCCTTCCCCTCATCACTGTCTTTGTCATGCTCGTCCTTGTCACCCTCCTTGTCATCTTCCTGGTCATGCTCGTCCTTGTCACCCTCCTTGTCATCTTCCTGGTCATGCTCGTCCTTGTCCTCCCCATCCTTGGTGCCCAGATCTTTCTCCACGTTTGTCCGGCCCATGCTAGCTTCATTGTCAACCTCAGGGATGACAACGATTGGTGCCTGGAAGTGTAGATCAAGTTTTAAATTTTCTGCACATTCACCCTTTTTAATGTCATTGTTATCACTGTTATCATCATTATACTGTCAATGCTTCAACACATTTAGCACTGTCAAATGCATTATCACTGCCATACATCACTGCATGTGTTATCACGCTGTCACCATAAATGCAACCTTTATGAGCAAAATGTTATGATCTTCTTGGACAAAAAAAAATGTGACTGACCTTAATTTGGGGGGTAGAAGTTGCTGGTTCATCCTTGGTGGTGTCCACACAGATGTCGGCTTCACCGACAATGATCAGTCTAGGCTCAACGGATGTGGAGCTGTTAGGACGCTCAGAGGCCAGAGTAGACTGTTTTAAAGGGTAACAATGGCAAGTATTATTAAAGAAGTTTCTGTGAAAAGATTCCTAGAAGCATTGTGCACCCCTTTGTGAGTAAAATGAGAATAAGAGGCAACATTGAAAGACTATTTGCAACATGCTTGTTGTTGAAGAGGCATGGTATATGATAAGCAGCAAGCATGACATAGGGTATCCTTAGCACAAACATTTCTGTGGAGTTGCATTTGGCCTCATGTGTTTGTACACAAAGCCCACATCATGAAGAGTTTATCGTCTTTGCAATTCAACAATACTCTGCAGTGTGTCAAGCATTTCAAAGCACTACAGATAAGAGAATGCAGTGCCATTCTGGTCTCAACATCAATATATTTATTTAGCTAAATGGAGTTCTCACGAAGAACAAGCTATAGCACACTGCATCTGTTACACAATCTGAAATTCTAAATAATGTTCAAAAAAGATTTCAAATAACAAGGAAAAACAGCCTCAAGAAGCAAATGTACCTGGTTGATCCCCAGGATGGCCTTCAGGTCCTCACTCTTGCTCACAGCATCGTCACCGATCACCTCGGCAACTGCATCAGTGATGGCAGCTGCGACAGAAGCATCAGTAGTCATCAATCCTGAGACTGACTTCATCTCCTTCTCTTCCTGTAAAGTTGAAGGATTAAAATCTGAACATCTCTAACCTTGTAAATTTCAGCTGAGGTTGGAGTATTTGGATGCAATGTCTCATTTATTTAAAAAGTTATCCTTTAGGACAACAATATTGCTTTATGAAGAAATATTTAAACACCTTGTTGTGGGTGTTATTTAACATAAAAAATATCATGGCTAAATTGCAGTATTGCATCAATTGCACATTGCAGCTCCTGAAATCTAACTATCCTCAAAGTTTTGCTTTTATGTGAAGAATAACTCAAATCAGACCTTCTGGATTTCCTTAATAGAAGTATGCTCATTGGTCAGGGTTTGCTCGTTGGTGGTGGTGGTGGTACGGGATTGCTCAGGGGTTTGCTCAGGGGTTTGCTCAGGGATTTGCTCGCTGGTAATGGCAGGCAGCTGGACCCCTCCTGCAGAGTCATAGAAAAATGTAGCTTTAATCAAAACACCCTTGGATTGGACATTTCAACAACAATCTTGTGTAAACCTTCACTTTTATCAAGCATTGGAATTCCATGGTTCATTCTCAAAATGAAAATCACTGTTACCAAGTACTGATAAAATAACATTTTTCAACTTCATGTATTAGTGCTGAGAAGTAAACATGGTGCAGGCACCATTTGCACCAGCAGAACAATCGTTAGAAATCTTCATTTGACACTTTTACATACCAAGTCCAGCTACGGCCAGAGCCGCAGCTCTCAGCTCAGCATCTCCCTTAGCCTTGGTCTCAGCCAGGGCCTTTTCCAGCTTGGCCTTAGCCTGCAACGGGAAAGACGAAATAGTGAAGTCAAGACTAGGTTGGAAGCCAAAAGCTGGAATATGGAGATGGGGGGGGGTTCAATGTCTCTTGCACCATTTGGAGGTTAGATAAAGGGAAATTAAATTTGTTCAGCTTAGTAATGGAGGTCGCAGAGAGGTTGTCATTTTTTCTAAAGGCTTTGAGAGTTTTAATTCTGGTGTCTTCCTACGCTAAAATATCACTATCGATATATCAGTTACATGTAATTGCTCTTCCCACGGCCACATGGTATAATCTCTTAGTCAAGTACATGTATGCTAGCATTTTTACCAAATGTAGATGTCTTGTCTAGAATAGAATACGGGGGACAAACAAATTGAGTGTAATCTCCTGTAAATTACAAACTGTAATGTGTCGGCATACCTTGATTTGCTTCTTCAAAGCACTCCTAGAAAGTTTCTGTTGCTCCTTGTTGGATCCTAGAAAGTACGTGAGAAAAAATTACCAGACTGTAGTGCTGGCTGATAAATCCTGTGTGCACTGTGCTAACCTGTTGGAGCATTTTCATTGACTGAGTGTGATCACCTGTGACATGTCGACACCCTGAACAGAGACTTCTGCTGCTGGAGCATTTAATAGTACCTAACAAATTCTGACTCACTTGGGACATGCTCAGAGGTGGATCCGGTGGAGGGGACACACACCCCCATTTCACCCTCCATCCCCCTTTTTCACCCAAAAAAATAAATAAATAAAAAAGATAGAACAAAGGGAGGGGGAAGAAAAAGAGGAAGGGACCCAACCCCATAAATATGAAAAAGGTGGGACAAAAATTGTTCTGCTTCCGGGCCGGTACTTAACTTCCCTAATTTTGTGGCCGTTACCCTAAATTTTTTTAGTTTTTGCCCCCCCTTGGAAAATCCTGGATCCACCCCTGACGCTGTATCGGTTTGTTTCCAAACAAATAAAGGTTCCATGGCACTTTTCATCAGCAGGTTTTGAAATTTGGTCAGAGTTTGGACTTAGGTGGTGCACCATTGGCATATTGTCCAAATTTTGTGCTGTGCCTAAGACAAAGTAAGAAAGTCATCAAGAATTTTGCTCTTATTGAATTTTTATCAGTGAAGAGCTTTATTGTTTAGCTTGGTGGTTTTTGGCAAATAGTACAATATTCAGGATTTGATCTTAGGTTAAAGTATCTGCCTGTCCTTTAGGAAATATTAATTTGCCTGTCTCATCCTGGAAAACTTTATGAAACTGATGCCCCTTGGTACTGTCTGAGCCCATGTTTCCATCGTACACAGTGTTTTGGATGGAAACGTACACATTTTTTCCAGTGTTACAAAAATTCGTCAAATATAACAGGGTTTGTTCTTAACCCTAAAACTACCTGCTTTGAATAATTTTTTCCTGTCCTTGGGACCGGTGGCTAAAGATTAGACAATATTTTTGTTCAAAGAGTAACATTAAATATTAAGTACCATTGATTCCAACCAAGCTGGTGCTTCCACTTCATTTAATTTCAATCATATTCACACATCAAGGGTAGATTAAGAGGGGCAAAAGTGATGGCACATAATCCTCATGAACTCAATTTTTTCCCCACAAGAATTTAAGATTTTTTTCCTTCCGGTATTCTGGTTGCCCCTGAAAAACCTTAAATTGCCAAACAAAGCATCAGTATAGGCCTAGACCCTGTGCGAAAAAATGTTTAGTCCCTTTAACAGGCCCTGAATCCCATGCAGTGTATCATGCTGCACACTTAGGGCCTACATGTAACAAAAAATTGCCAGCATGAGTCCCATTGATCCCTTGTTTTCCCTACCAAACTCCTGTTAGGCCTACCTCCCTGTCTCTCTAACATAAGCAAGGCCCACACACTTCTTACATTTTGATAATTCTATCACTGTGTGAGGGATGCATCAACTCGGGATAACTTCATGACTTGTGATATCTTAGTTATAACTTCCCATGACTCTGCTTGCATGCAACCAGACAATGTGTCATTACATAGTCATAGGCTTTGGTGCAGACAAGGAGCGCAACTCCACATCACTACGATACAAGTGGGATCTTCTAATGGTTGCTTCAGTATATTATTTTATTAGACGTACAAGTACAATGACAACATTCTGGAAACACAGATACAGAGAGGGGGCTTAAATAGGAATCTATTACTCAAATCAATAAGTTTCAAACTATTCGCTTTCTCCAGTGAAAAAATTAACACAAATTTGCATTCTACTGGAATATGTTCAACTACACCCGATACAACTGAACTAGTCACTAAACCAAATATCGCTGTACTTAGAATGAAGCTAAAACTAGGATTAGTGGGTCAGTCATGAATAAAACAAACAGAAGGCAGAGCGATATCAAACCACCGACGTGAGAAAATTGAGTCAAATTCATCTAATGTATCGAATGCACAAACCAGGAATAAATATTCTATGGATAGCCAGACTAAGAGATATCTAGTAAATTGAAAGCAAATCTACATGTATTTCTACATTCGCAATTACTAATGCAATCTTATCGTAACGTACATTTAATCTGTATAATTCCAATCTTAAATAAAGCATTCCTTTAAATTGTTCTACAAATGTATTTACTTGAAGGTTTTTTTTTCCCAGGCTTGTACCATAATACACAGGATATGACGGAATGATTAAAAAAATACAAACAAAAAATTTCATTGTAATGCTTCTGCACGCTGTTACGCAACAGTCCAGCTGTTATTTAAACCAACCCTTATGTCATTACATTTAGCCTTAGCTTTGTATGGAATATCACATCCCTAACTTAGTCTTAAAGTTAAGACACCATAAAAGCACCATGGTGGGCACGCTGACCCAGGTGTGGGCCCAACTAACTTAAGTCAAGCACATCAAATTTGTTCCGAATTTTTTCCCCCAAATTTCAACAACATGAACAATAGCCCTCGGCCTATTCTGAGTCTATCACAAATACTAGGCCTACTAATGTGTTAAATATCACCACTTTCAAAATAACCAGTCCCTGGGCCCCAGGTACTCCCAAGACCTACATGACTTAATATTTTGGGTACGAAATTTATTTTGATAAACAACTTTTTCTGCTGTTGCAAATTGCTTTTCTCCTCCTACACAGGTATGCACAATGGTTAACCCTTTGTGTACGTGAACAGATTGCTTAGCAATGTCTATGCACAATGGTTAACCCTTTGTGTACGTGTACAAATTGCTTAGCAACGACAATGGCATCAACTGTTTTTTCACCAGACATAACACTCAACATACAGGGCTTAAGCCTACGTCCGAAGTTCACGCATGTTAAAATCAACTTTGAAAAATTAATTCATGAAGCAAAAGGAACTTACGTTGAGCACGGCGCTTTCTCTTCTTGGACTGTGGACAGCCCATGTTTGAGCCGACGTGATCTTAATATCAGCTGCAAAATTTCCGAATTTCTTGTAACAAACTGACTGCAGTAAAGACGGAGAAACACAAAGGCACGTCCACTTGTCATAAATCCAAAATCGTTTCTGAAGGCCGCGACCAACACGGTACCCTACAAGACTTCTGATTGGTTGAAAGTTAGTCACGCCTTATACATAATTCATATAATAATGTTTCGCTAGTTTCCAAGGTTTTGCTCGTTCGTCAAGTTGCTGATTTACAAAAATTACAAATTTGTAATTTTGTCTTTTTTCAAAAGGTTATGGTAAAGTTTCATCCAATATATATTATTATTATTATTTTTGAACTACTAATTCTTTTCAGGTTTTGAGGAATAGCCTTTTTAAAAGTCATTTTCTAAAACAAGATTTGGAAAGAGTGCGCGCCTGACAACAAGATGCAAACAAAGGAAGTAGCTCGCTCATGTTTTTTTTTTACTAAGGAGAGGGCGAGTCGAGTGTACGCGTGCGTGTAGAGAACAGTGGGCGTGGCTCTGTCGCTATACCAATCCAAATATCCCCGATTACTGCCGCGGGCTAGCTAGCTGCAGCTGTCACCCAAGTTAAAGTCGAACCATAGATCTAGAGGAGCTCCTCCAGGTCTATGGTCGAACGTACTATTTATTTACCATACTAAGTATGAGTAAACGTTTCAACTATAATTAATCTAATCCTGAGATATCGCTCTTCCGATGTCATGACATGAATCCAAATAGCACACAAAAGTGACTGAAATCTTTTCAGTTTCAAACCTAATTCTGTTTTAAAACGAACATCACTCCGGTTCATTCACCTCATGATTTATGTCTAATTTATGTCATTATTTTTAAACTTAAATAATTTGCCTCTTCAATGACAGCAGTACAAACGTTAAAAGAAATATTCAATAGAATGTGTTTCAAAAAGTTTTTCAAAAAGGCTCATCTCTGTCCATCCGTGGAAAACCACAGGAAAAAAGTTAAAATGGACTGGCTGCTCAGTCCTCAGGGAATTTGCAATTTCCCACGACGCAGTCTTCCTCTTTTAAAAATTAGGTCCTAAATGTTTAAGTTGGTTAGCAAATGAGTTTGATCACGTAAATGTACAGATTTTGTTCTGGTTGACAACTCACAAAATAAAAGTTTAAACAAAGAGGCCCAACTGTCAACAATTTTTATTACATGAAGACATCAAGCTGGAGAAACACTTTGGAACGTGTGTGTGTGGGGGGGGGGCAGACACATAGAGAGAAAAACAGATATAAAAATAATCTCCAATATATAATTTTTTATTCAAAACAATTCTCAGAATAAGCCCTGCACATCAGAATGTCAACAACTCTCCAAAGCACCTTTTATCTCAGTGCGCGTTTGAATGATTAATACCCTATGCATGGAATACAAGTTTTCCATAATGAGGAAAAAACACTATGCTCACTTCACAAAACATTATACCTGTCTCACTTAACTTTGTGCACATAGCGATGCTATTATTTCTAAAAACTTCACACAAACAAACCTGCTTTTATACAGACCACAACTATGTTGTAAAAATCATTCCATTTCTGTAGTTTATTTCTGAGGTTTAAAAGCATCCCCCTCTTTTTCCCTCAAAGACTGCAATTTGAAAATCATTAAAAACCAGATTTTATTTAAATGACTATGTTTTGTTGGAAGGCAGTTTGTATTATTTGTCCCATGACCATGAGCGAGATATGACAAATTTACTCGAATGGACCACATTCTTGAATGAACCATTTTGAATTTGAAAGCGAGGTTAGCTTTTAATTTTTTTGAATTGAGAGCATCAACGAATGAATTTAATTTCCTGACCAATTATTACCTGTCCACTCTGATTAATTCACATTTTGTGATAAACCGTACCTCAGTCTTAGCCAGGTTTTGAACATAAATTCAAGGAACAGGAGACCAACAAGAATCCTCAAAATAGTCCGATACCATTCCATTAGATAGTTGATATTTTATTTAAAAAAAAAAAAGTTTGAGGAACAAAACAGAAATAGTTTCCTGAGGAATACGGCCCACTGAAACAGGCCTTTTTGATTATGCACCTCGAGTAAAGAATGCAATCTGCCCGACTTGAAATGCCCCCTCACTGGCAAAGGAGAGACAGGCTGGTGGGAATTTTGTTAATCTGGGCACCCAGTACACGGGCAGAGACCATACGCTGCAACACAAATCGGTCACCCAAGTTCATCGCATCCTCAGTGCACCAAAACGTGCATGAACTTGTGCTTGCTATGCACACGGTGAGATCCCACCAAAGGACCGTCGTTGCTATGTACGGGATGCTATTATTACCACACTATTACGGAGGGTGACGTGCACTATGTTCATTATATTGTTGCCATGAATAAACTAGTCAGGATCGAGACCTCAAATTTGACTGAAGGTAAGACATAAGTAACGTCCACAGACATTTGTATAGATGGTCATACAATTGTTTCACACGAAAAAGTACTAGTATTTATGAAACAAAACTATTAAGCACATAACAGCATTGCAGGTTATTAAATTGGCATCGATATAGCACCTGTCCTCTTATGGATCAACATTCGCAAGTGTTGGCCATACCTTTATAAAATACTAAGTACATACCCATAAGTATTTAGCAAATGACAAAAACTTGACGGATACCTTAGGCAAATGACAAAAAAACTGGCTCTTAAAATAAGACAGACAACCTGTTACTTTGTGCACACACGGGGACTGTCCATTCCATTCTATTTTGAAAACTCTTTAAAGTTTTGACTAGAGAATTTATATTGTTTAGAAAAATTATCAACTAAATGAATGCATGATTTTCCTCCTTTATAAGATTTTGCATCCGAACTCTTCAGGTATACAAAAAGACATGAGACATAAATAGCAATCACCCTCATACTGATATGTATAATGTAGGGTATTTTTCCCTGGTGACGCTTCAGTAGGATTTATAGCGGAAGATATAATCTACTCCATCTTCAGGAATGATTCCATCCGGCCCTTAGAAAAGAATAAAACATTTAAAGTTAATAAATTTATACATATTATTTGCTCATTATAAATTGGGCATTCTTTCTCAATTTCCTGCTTTGAATAAATAGGTTCACTTCAAAAGTGACCTACTGAATAAAGTTGATATTCACTCTTACCCAGCTATGCAAGTTAATTTTTAAATAACATATTGGACACAGGTCAAAAGACAAAAGGGCAGATTCCTGTAACATCATTTGCATCCAATTGCAAGATGAAAAGTATGTGTAGAACATAAGCAATATGCTTGCACTTTTCATCAAAATTCATGATTTTGATCCACTATTATTTGGAGATTGAAAGGCATGCAAATTGATTTCTAGCTCACCTGTCGTTGCATATTCCCTGTTGGGACCAATCAGAATGCTCCAATACCTGTGGTTGACATCGTCATTGGCTACACCATTGAAACTGGTCACAAAATTCCCAAAATCTGTCATCTTGGATTCAAATCTAGCCAAATGTAATGAGAAATAATAGAACAATTTTTTTCTAAATCTAAGAGTGATAGCTAAGATATGTCACTTGATGCGATGTATCGGCCCCAAAAGATGTTGATAACGAATCTGTTTATTTGCAACTACAGACATCACATTTGTTACATATTGATAATATGACAATTGTCACAAGAATAAACAGCAATTAGTTAAAAGAAGGGTTAAAATGTCTTTCAACTTGGACAGAAACAAATTTCCGCTTACCTAAAGGTGCCTTGCGATTCCTCCATGGCCACTTGAAGGAATTTAAACAGCTTGGAGCCAGCCGGGGCAGTGACTGACACTGTAACCGGCTGCTGGTTGGTGTCAATGCTGTTTTCCAGGACTATCTGGATTGTGATTGGTGGGCCCGGCTGTTCTGTGGGGTCGGTTGGTTCACTGCCAGGCTGGGAGCCAGCTGAGTCTGCTGCTGAAAAAAAAGGAATGACTCTTAAAATTGAGAGAGTGGTAAAGAGAGGAGAAAGGAAAAAATGAGAGTCCCTCTAATTCTTTCTGTCTAGACTTGCCCCCTCCCATCATAAATAAGTTTGGTTCTCTCGTTGTGATTTCTTAAAATGAGGATAAAGCGTGTTGCCAACATTGTGAACGAAAATATGAACTTTTTTCATATCATTTCATCCATAATCTGTATATTTGCCTCACCAAACAATTCTGACTAGAACCAAACCATATGGTAGTTCAAACAGAATTTTTGAACACAAAACACCAGCAAAAATAAACTGTTTTCCGATAATAGAGTGGGTAATACTACTCATGCGGTCCAATATAAGACCTTCAAGAACAGAGTTCTTGTAAACTAAAGATTTCACGTAACAAAGTTGGTATGACTTCTAGAGGACACATTCATATCGCTCTCTATTTTGTCCACTCACCCTGGGTGAGGCAGGCCATCTTGATGTCCTTGACGCTGCCATGGTGACGATTGGCAAGCAGGGGTAGGATCTGCACGGTGGCCCCAAGGTTGCCAAAATGGCCGTCCTCATGCTGGGTTTCCAAGACTCGCTGCAGGGCCTCCTCGGCACGCCACACAGAGGGGGGCACACTGGCTGCCTTCAGGGCCTGTTCACATCAAACAAGGAGAGACCTGTCTGTTTGATCGTCGCAAAACTAAAGGGCAGAGTAGACTCTCTGTCTTGCGAGCATTTATTCTCATTTGAAGAAACAAAACTGCTGAAAATTGGAAGATGGGTGCTCAGTAACTTTCAAAAAAGGCAAGATGTTATGTTGCAAGAGGTTTTCTGCAAGTTAATTCAAAGAACTTGGTCTTTTATTTATGTATGTATTTTCTGATTCATGAATGTAATATGAGGTTGTTCTACTCATGGCACAAGGTTCAGTGCCCACTGGTCTAGATGCATCACGCACGCTTACCTTACCGGGAAAAAAAAGTGAATTTCGACCCCTGACACTGCATGTTACAACTCTACCTTTTACATAATGTGGCAGATCAAAAGATGGTAATGGCAGAATAAAATTGATTGTATTATGACATTTTGTCCGAGCACTTTTTTGGTCTAATTTCACGCTCCACCATATTTCTAACCAAATCCTGATTTTTTTTCGCCAACACTCCTGGGCGTGGCCATGGAGCGATACTCGATACCACCACAGGTTGTGCACCCTGGCCAAGTTTGAGAGTGACACACAGTCTGCCTTCACAGACTTCTTGGGCTTTTGTGTGCATGTGTGTGTACAGAACAATAAGGCCTTGGCATTTGTAGGCATCAGCTGGACGTGAATCAAGGCACCCTTCATGCTTTTAACCAATAAGCTATGTCTTTGTATGCATTTCCTACAAGGTAGTTGACAAATAACCTGTTGATGTTATAGGACTGTCAATATCGCATGCATGCACAACATTTTTGGTCTCATAATCAGTGCAATTACTATCTTTGTCATGATTTCTGAGCAGTGGTTTAGTCGGTTGATATTTGGACGGCTATGGGCCTCGAGTTGGATCAAGAGAGGGCGGTAATTCCTAAGAAACGGAGGCTTCTTTGGTTAGCACTGAAGTTTGCTGGCTCACGAACGATTAGGAAATGCACGTCTTAAGGTCGCATCGCTACAACTGCAATGAACACTCCCAACCAACACAGCTCTTCAATTGATGAGGGGATGCTTCTGCTCAAGGCAGATAAATGGTCCAAAAACCACTTTTGAAGACACAATATCAACATACAAATGAATTTTTGGTTAATACTTCCTTCCTGATGGAAAATGCCACGATTTTATAAACCAGCTTCTCTTCCGTCTTTTTGACATGGAATGTTGTGGCCAGATTTTAGACACATATTAATGACACAGTTTAGGCATGTTCTCAACCTTCCTACAGGTAAGAAAATGCCCTCCAGTTTTTCAATTCAGCATCTGCATGATGGATTACTTGAAATGCTGTAGGATCAACAAAAAGGACAGGGCAAACTTGCATCCATACCTGGCTTGCAAGGGCCGTACTGATGCCGTTTCCAAATGAGGCATCATCCTGCTGTTTACTTAGAATGCAGGACATTGTCTTGTTGAACTTCTGCTCAAAGCGAGACTTGAAGGATGTAGGCACGCTACCTCTGGCACAGGACAGAGCCATCACAGACATGGATGCAACATCAGCACCTGCAGAGGACAAACAAGTAATGCAAAAAAAGCTTATGCAAGGATTTGTGCTTATAAACTAGCTTTTTTGACAAACCAAATTCTATTGAGCTTCATAAACTTTGGGTTAAAAGACTGCATCCACAGAAGTTGAGCACAATATCAGGGGTGGAATATAGGCTGTCATAAAACACAGGGCAAATTTCAAAGAGCTGCTGATGAACTTAGAGTTATAATAAGCAAACCAATTATAAGCTTAGCAAGATCAGGTTACCAGCCAAAGAACCATGCAAAGTGCATTACTTGATGAGACTGGTTCTTTGACTGGCACTTTTGATTGGCACAGAAATATGAGTAATGTTTCCTGATCACATGGGCAATAGCAGATAAAAAATATTCCCTGCTTTGAATGAAGAAGCTAGTGTTTTTTAATTGTCAATGCGGCACTTGTTTTCATTTTCTGGAGGGGGAAACTAAATCCTTTTAAAGGACCTAGATTTTCCTTATTAGAGAATGAACCTGTTTGACTTATAGGAAAATGGCAAGAAAGGAAAAATCAGTGAAGTAAAAAGTCTGTTTCATTGAAATTGCACCTCGGCCATCAAATCTATAGCAGCCGTCTTCCCTTTGTCCATTGAGCAGCTCCCGAATGTGCTTCAGCTTAACGGCACCCTGACCACTCTGGCACAGCGCCAACACCCCGAGCGAATACTGGAAATGGTTGTTGAAGTCCTTGCGGGGAAAGCGTCGCATGTTGTGCTCCAGCACCTCCACCAGGTCGTTGCCATAGAAATCCTCTGTGTTGTGGCAAGTGGCCTCCAGGGCTAGCATGTAGAGAGCCAGGCGGCCCACTGAGATTTTGGCCAGACGAGAGTGACGTTGGGAACCAGTGCCACAGCCACTGAGTCTGTTGGATCCCAGAAACAAAACAGGAAATTCAACAACCAGTCACAGTCAAATCCCACGGACAAGGGGCAGGTCACTTTCCACATTTGTGGAGGTTGTAAACCATTTGTATATTTTTGCACTGGGCAGTATCTAGAGTGAGGTTTGTAAACATTCTTGATTATTCAGTATATTATATGGGGAAAGTCCTTTAACTCAACTCCCTAAGTACTGTAATAAGAGTAAAGGGCCCTTGAAATCTTCTGGGCTTTTCAGGATAGTTTAATTTTTACTTTTATGTTTTTGAAAAGGTATGACTTTTTCTGTGAAAAGCAACGAAAAAACTGAAAACTGAACAAAAGTGTTCACTGAGAATGCTGACTTCCAGCTATTGTGTGCATATCATAGGAAAGGTTAAGTCTCCAGACTCGGAGCCACCTTTTGAAAATGTCTGACTGGGACTGGAATGGTCGCTGGGACTGCTAAAGGGCACATTATGTGATATTCTGTGGGCAATTGGTAAAAATGTTAACTTGAAGCTAGAGACAACTACTGTGTCCAAATGACTTGCTTGTAGCTTGATACTACATATGGCTCTATGATAGCGGCTGCCTCTTGTACCCACAGAATCGGGGTGTAATGTCAAGATGCAGCCACATAAATCAGGTATGGCCATACTTTGCTGATCTGCTGAGCTCAGCCAATAACTCTATCTCCAGCTGTTTGATGGCCAGCTGCGTCTCCAGCGCCTTCTCCCGATACCAGCTTTCATTGGCCAGCTGCATCGCCATGACGACGGAGGAGGTACTGATGCCACCGTTCCAGTCCCAGTCCACCTCCTGTTGCTGTAGCAACCACCTGGTCGCCCCAATGAGGGCACAAGTGACATCATCATCCACACAGGAAGTGGGTGGTGGGCTGACCTCATCGTCTGTGGAAAACACAAGCCATTAAGTTTTACTGGTAAAATTCCAAGTGGGGCACATATTCAACAAATTAGATGGTTTGCACTAGAGAGGGTACTTGATTGGTTAGCAATATATATAGTATTTGACTAGCATGGTTAGCACTTGACTAAGTACCTGACCAATTAGATGGTTGCCACCTGTGATCTTATTGAGTGGACCAATTATATGGTTAGTACTTGGTGAGTATTCGACCAGTGAAAATGGTTGTCAATTTGAGTATTGAATTTTGACCAATTAGATGATAAGGACTTGACCAAGTATTTGACCACTTAGACGACTGACATCTAACTGAATATTTGACCAATTTATATGACAAGCACTTTACAGAGTATGGTACCAGCTGTAGACTCATGTAACAGAAATGACTGTGTTTACATAATAGATTCTTGTACTTCAAACAGATCGAATAATGGGGAAATGAGACTGCCTAAGAAAATCTGACTACTTTTGTGTGCACCCAGGCTTTCAATGTGTATTACCTTCAATTAATTTGACTGATAATTTTGCGATGTATTTTGACAACCGGCTTTACTTTTTTCAAACCTAAGTGAAATATTATCGGCACTTTAAATCTCAGTCTAAAGTTGTAACTACTTATTACTCAAAGTTAAACCTTTAATTGTAAATCCATTATCACTTCTAATTTACCTCACGGCCTCTATTTGATTGATTGAATAACTTTAATTTGATTTTTGTAAAATTGAAGGGACTACCTGAAAAAATCTCAACAATGTGTTTTAATAGTGGTATGTCTTTGTCAAGCATAAGACCTCATCACTTCGATGCAGTTCACAAAAGACATGTTTGAGTTCATGCCATGGATTATGATTGATCTGGGTACCAAACAAAGCTTTTGTTTGCTGAATGGTTATCAGTCTGTCCATGCATCACATAAATAGTTGTTGCCACGTAACCTTCGAGGTTACATAAACTATTTACTAGCAATGTTACACACATTTTTGCATACAATGGGTGGTGTCAGTGTGACATAGAATTTACATGTGTAGATCAAAGGATACATTCAAGACAATGGTGAATGGGCAACTTTGGAATATGGACAAAAATGATTTGCCTGTTTTTCCTAAAACCATTCCTGTTAAAAAGTTATTATTAATGAAGTGGGAAAGAATTTTAAAATACTCATATGCCACTAAAATTTCCCCACAGTGACCTATTCAGCCATCTGAAAACTATAAAATGTCCTAACCCTGGCTACACCTATTATGAAATTCCAAAGTTCTTGCAAGTCTTACACAAAGCAATAAAATCAACAAACATAATGGGCCTAGGCCTGGGCCCTATTTGTTATTTATAAATGGCATAAATAACCGTAAAGTTGAAGAGGAGCATGCCCAGGCCTACGTCCAAACTCTACTGAATCTTTTTCTGCAAGTGGACACGTATTCCAGACTCACCAAGACCAGCCACGGGATTGTGTTCCTCTCCAGCATTAACTTCTCCTAAATCGTTAGCCCCTTCCCCCAAGTCGGCGTTGAAACCCGAGAGCAAAGCCAACCAAATAAAACACGGAGCAAGAAGACCCTCCATGGTTGGAAGAAGTGTCCATCAGTTGCACGACGCAGTAAGTTCACGCAAGAAAATGAACTTGTTGACCTTGCCCGCGCCGTTGCACCGTGTACACACGTACATGTACATGTACATGTAAACGGAACGCGTACAACTCGCAATTTGACATGATGTGCGTTGAAACGTGATGAACTTCCGCGTGCGTGCGTGATCCTTTGATGGCCGGCCGCTGAACCATGGAGGAAGGAACTGCAGTCGCTGTAAATTTGGGGTCAGAGATTGTTTGCGGGTCCGGGTCGTGCCATGAGCAACCGGACTTGGGAATTGCAGAAACTGTTGCATTTCGTCCCAATTTTTTACAGTTCTCATTCACAAACGCCCTATGCTTCTTCTGTTTTTTTAAATAAATAAATTATTTCTGTTGTAAATTTCTTTCCATTCAATCACTACATTACGCCCTTACGAAAAAATCCTATAGGATAGGGTCCTATAAGGTATGAAAAAGATTGTAAAAAACTCTATAGGATTCTTATAAGA